TGTGAAGGTATTTATATTTCTTCCAAATTTACATTCTAGATTATATAATGACCTAAATCAACTTAGAAAATGACTCCATATGCACATTAGAAAAGCATTTAAAACAAACTGACTGTTGAATTTAAATTTATGCAAAAGAAAATGTAATTTTAACTTGAGCTGGCCTTCACATTAAATGCAAAGCCTTCAATCGAATACCTTCAATCATAGTAAGAATTTAATTTTTAATTCACTTATACTAGTAAAATTGTTCAAACTACCATCTAAAGGTTAATATTTTAATAAAATCAAAAACCTCAAATTCAAAAATAAAAGTTCTTACATAAGATGGCTGATTTTGTATTTTAAATTACTGAATTAGAGTGCCCTCTATTGGAAGAAAAAAGGCAATAAAAGCTAAACTGAACTAAGAATAGTTAAAATACTCCCAAAATTCAAGCTACATTATTAATATGTAAAATACATTTATTAATGATATGAATGCTACAAAACATATTTCCTTATATTTTTGTTTTTTCTAATTTACTTTAGAATTATTTTTCATATTACGATGAACAAGTTGGATGTTTCATATCATCTAAAATTAAATTTTAACTGAACCCAAATGCCTGTCCTTCAGCCAGTAATGTGAATAATAAACAAACAAAAATGTTTTTCCACATTTAACATGCCAATATAGTACAGAAATAATTGTAACTTAAGTCTATGGCTAGACTACAATTTGAATTTTTTTTTATGATAAACTGAAAAACCTCCCTAATTCAAGAGATTTTTAGAAGCTTTTACATGGGGGAGTCAGAGAATTAGGCTAGAGGCTAGAAAAGCTATCAGATTTAATTCTAGCTCTAAAATTCTATAATTTTTTGGTGTTATCAAGACCTCAGTTCAGACTCATCATGTCAGGCCTGAATTACCTCAGTAAGGTCCTAGTGGATTTTTGGTCCTCTAGACCAATAATGTGCATGCTCAAATAAGCTTTTTAAATGAACAATGCTCAAAGCCACCCAAAACAATCTGATTTAGTTGGTCTGCCATGGTATTGAGGGTATCAGTATTTTCTGAAGCCTCTCCAGATAAGTATAATGTATAACCATTGCTGAGAATCATTATTTGAGTCTCTCCCCAGAACATCTGACTTACAGTTACAACTTTTATCTTGCAAAAATGTCACCTTCATGATGGAACTTCCCTAGTCAAGAATTTATTCTCCTCAGCATCAATATGAAACTTTAGACAAGCTGTCCAAATCTAATATCTGCCCTTGTTCTGTGACAAAATAGTTGAGTGGCAGGCCCAGACTGACTGTGTTCAGATCCTGGCTCTGGTACTTATCATGTAAACTTGGGAAAGTCATAAAAGTTCTCTGTGCCTCCATTTTCTCACCTGTAAAATGGGAGGAATAATATACCAATCTCAGAGAGTTACTGTGAGGATTAAATCAGTTAATATAAATAAAGTCCTCCATAAGTGTTAGATGTCATCATCACTTATCCAATTCTGTTTCCCACTACTTTCCAAAACCAACTCCATGATAAACCATTCTCCTCAAATTATATGCTATGTCTCACCTCTGTGCTTTTGCACATACTGTTTCTATAGGCCAGAATCCTCTCGCATCCATCCATTCAGTAGGTCAGTCAGTCAGTCATTCCAGCTCAAGTACAAAACACATCTCCCCTCCTCCAAGGCCCAGTTTAATCTCCCACTACCTCCAGGACGCCTTCAGTGAATATCTATACATCTTCAGTTCTCTCTCCCTTTTTAAAAAATTCCTTTGGCAACAGGGAAGTTTATTATGAAAAATGTAGCTGGGAATTAAAGACTTTGGCTCTAAGTTTGAATTCTAGATTTGCCATTTGCCAGCTGAGTCATTTCCCAAATCTATAACTCCATTGTTAGGATTACTGTGAGGATTAAGTGGTTTAAATCATACAAGGCCTTAGAAGAGCAAATAGCAAGGACCTAATAAATGTCAGCTCTTAAATATATATTTGTTGTTTTATACGTTAGTCTTCTCTGCACAATGTGATTGAAGATTTCTTGGAATAGGAATTTTGATCTTCTTGAAGTCAGGAACTATGTCTCATTATTGCTGTTATAAATCCTATAGCTCATAACATGGTAACAACCATCTATATTAAGTGATCTAGAGGTACCTGATTAAGTTTTTAAATTATTTGAGAGTATAATTCAACAAAACTCAGGAAAAACATTTTTGATAAATGGAAGTAAATATTCAACAAAACAGGGAATGAATCCAAATAAAACACAGGCTGTAGAGAAGGGTCAAAGTAATTGGATTACTTTTTAAACATTCAATAACAAGTTTCTATCAGATTAATCTTCTGAAAGACCATTTCCAATGATGTCTTTTATCTGCCCAAAATCCTTTTTAGATTTTTCTCATTTCCTAAAAAAAATACCAAAATTCTCAGCATGACATTCAAAATCATCCATGAGCTGACCTCAACCTATTTTTCTAATCTTATCTCCCATCTTCCCCCTTTACAAACTCTGTTACTCCAGATAAATAGAACTGCTTGCTCTTACTCATATGTACCCTCTGCTTTTCTGCCTCATGTAACCTTTAATATTTAATATGACAACATTTTCAAGGAATACACAATACAAAGGTTTGTCACAGGAACAGAGTGATTGCTTGCGAGAAAGTACGAGCTTGAATTTTAAGAACTTACGTTCAATTTATGAGCATTAATTTCTCTCTTGCTACATTGCAATACAGTCTTTGGCTTACCAAAGAAAAAGTTTCCCCATCATTTCCCCAAATTATGTCACCCTCACAATGCCAAAAGGCCCTGCCATCACTACCTGAAAGCTATAAACTGGAATCATGGTCTCCAAGCAGTGTGCGCAGACCCCGGGGTGCACAAGATATCCACTGAGTAAAAGAAAAAAAATTACAGTTTCTGTTTACACTTATTCTTTATCCTCCTCACTTGAATTTCTTTTGTAGTATATGCCTCATAATTTGCATCATATATTCTTAGAATAGTAGTAGATGTATATAATTTATAAATAAAAGCATTTAGGATGTTTGCTCAAAATTTGTTTACCAATGGTACATACAAGAAGAAAAGTTTTGAGGCCTGTCCGGTGGCGTAGCGGCTAAGTTCGCAGGCTCTGCATCAGCAGCCCGGAGTTGGCCGGTTCGGATCCTGGGCGCGGACCTACGCACCACTCATCAAGCCACACTAAGGTGGCGTCCCACATAGAGAAACTAGGAGGATGTACAACTATGACATGCAACTATCTACTGGGGCTTTGGGGAGAAAAAAGGAAAAAAGGAGGAAGATTGGCAACAGATGTTAGCTCAAAAAAAAAAAAAAAAGAAGAAGAAAAGTTTAGAAACCACTGGTCTGGAAAACTAGGGCTTTCTGTGGGATCAGAAGCAGAGGGCCAGAAGCAGATAGTTTAGAGAAATCTTTAGGGATGGACCTAAAAACCTAAACACCATGTATTATTTATGCAGGATAAATATATTTTAATTTATAACCAACTTTCAAGGAAATGTTGATATGTAACTGGTTTGTAATTTGGAGACAGCATATACGTATTTTAGATTTTTTTTTTTTTTTTTTTTTGGTGAGGAAGATTAGCCCTGAGCTAACATCTGTTGCCAATCCTCCCCTTTTTGCTGAGGAAGATTGGCCCTGGGCGAACATCCATGCCCATCTTCCTCCACTTTATATGTGGGACGCCTGCCACAGCATGGCTTGATAAGCAGTGCGTTAGGTCCGCACCCAGGATCTGAACCTGTGAACTCTGGGCTGCTGAAGCAGAACACGCAAACTTAAGCACTACACCACTGGGCTGGCCCCATCTGTTTTAGATTTTGAAACAGGGAACTTTGCCCTGCCATTAAAGTTACTACAGTAAATATTTCATTAATACAAAAATTTCATTTGGTAAAAGCTGGAAGTATTTACTTCAGTATACATATAATTAACCATAATGAGCTTTTATTGGAGCCAATAATGTGATGTTTTACAAAAGAAAGTTCCACAAAAACAAACGAAAAACAAAAACGAAAACAGGCCTAGGAGGTAAGACTAGCCATGGAACTAGATTAGCAAGCACTACCCTGGAAAATGGTTTCACGGTTCACATTAAGCAACTAAATGAAGTAAACATTCTCATGACAGTCACTATACTTAGCAATTTTTTTTTTTAGCTTTCATAAATAATATAACATACTTAACACAATCCACTCTATTATTAGCTTTTGAAGAATGTATAATGTTTCTATAACAAATTAAGTTCTAATAGTGAGTAAAGGTTTCATACCATAATACTGTATTTCCTTTAATAGCACGGCATCCTATAAATCCTTCCTCTATAGGACACAAAATAGAAATACACATCTTAAACTGACTGATTCTCTACAGTTTTTCTTACTATTGTATTAATATAAAAATCCAAATGAGCAAGAATCTTTAACTCATGATTTAGACTCTGAGCTTGTAGGTTGCATGCAAATCCCACGGGATTTGCATAAGATTATAAAAATATACAGGTCAAACTTTCCACAATGTCTGTCTCCTACTGCGCCATACAGAGTGACTGGGGAACTCTTCACACATGGCTCAGCTCTATCTTTCTTCTTAAAGATGGGGTTAGACTCAGTTCACAGAGAAAGTGAGGAAGAAAGACAAAAGAGGGTTTTCTTCTTTCTTTGCAAACCAATATCATTATGCCCAGTAAAACTAAAAGAACAAAATCAAAGAAACTATGAATTTTTGTGTTACGAGAGTCTAACAGTAGCGAGATCCTCACAAATTAGAAGTGATTTATCAAAGCATTCCTTCCCCTACACATGCAGTGAGAATAAAACACCAGTGGACATCAGGGAAAGAGCAAAGGGAGCTTGACATTCGACACTGGCTGAATCCGAGATAGGATAATGCACAAATCCCACGCCTCTTAGGTACACACTGAACTAGCAAAGACAGACACATTGTCTGCTTTCCCCCCTTACTTACTACACTCTGGCTTCCATTTTTCCCAAGTTCTTCCTCTGAAATCTTGCTCAAATTATCTAAGTAGTGGTCTGATATTGTATGGCACAAATCTTCAAAAGAATAATCCTTTTCTTGACAGAGCTTTATTTCATCCAAGAGTTTCGATAATTCTCCAGTCACTGTTTCACCTGTAAGAAGAGTGAATTTTTTCAGAAGTTTCAAGAAAGGCTACTTACTGCTAAAAATTAACATTAAATAATAAAAATATGATTATGGTGATAGAACTCAAAATATGGCAAACAATATTAAGTCATCAGAAAATATTCTGCTGAAAACAAGGCACTAACGTATAATTAGTACCAAGAATATTAAAAGACAAATAGAAATTCCAAATTTTCCCTATTTTTATTTTTTTTTCAAAATGGAGATAAGTATTGAAGGTTTATATATACATGGTACATAAAAGCATCTGGAATTATTACAGCATTTAATTTTCAATAATCTTTTATTGTCATTATACTTCACTGACACAATTCATTAACAAATTTGAGATAGTACTGAGAACCTACTTCCTAGGTTCAATAAAAAGAAACAGTAGAACTTATTTAAACAAACAATTATATAAGTAATTAATAAAGTAGAATTATGATATGTGATAACAAGGGAAAACACAGAAGGAACAGATAAATAATATACACCATCTGTCAAAACATGAATATTTTGTAGGTTGCATGTAAATATTCATTTTTCTAATCATTCTCGGTAAGGTAGTTTATACCTACAATTTATTCTTTAAAAAAGTTCCAGTAGTTACAGTCCAGGTATCAATATTTTTATTCTGCATTAAAAACACATTTTAGAAGAAAATCTACTAAGAAATAACCACTCCACGCAAACCTCATGACAGCTTGCATTGCTATCTACTTTGCTCATTGCTGTATCTAAGGGCCAAGAAAAGTTCCTGGCAAATAACAGAAGCTTAGTAAATGGATAAAATAGAAAGTATAAGATATAACTTATTACACTATTTTCACAAGTGTTAGCCTTTTTTGTACAAATTGGACCAACTTGTACACAAAAGTCTAGTATCATTTCAAGGGCTTTATAATGAGCTACTCACTTTTGGTCTTTTGGGAAGGAGACTCAACAGGAGATGAAATGTGTGTTTCTTGTGTTGTATCTTCCTGCACCTGTTCTTCAAGGACTGTTGATCTTCCCACACCTTCTAAATATTCTGTGTGTATAAGTTTTTGAAATTACATACTTGAATCCATTTATTTAAAATCTTTAAACTTTATGTCTTACTTTTGGCAATCACTTTTTCATTCGTTTCCTCATATCCTATACATATCCTAAATTTTTAAAAGAACTTCAAAAAAACAAATGAACCAAAAGAACTTCATGATGAGCTATTAATTTAAAGCTTTTTAATTAAAATAAAAAAGATATTTTGGAAGAGACTCATGAAGCCTTTTTCCGAAAACTAAACTTGTCACACTCGTTCCTTAAAAATAAATTCACCTGTTGAAGATGCAATAACGTCCTTGGTTTCCTTAAATATATTCTTCCTGAAGATTTAACACTCTCTGAAAGATGCTTTGAATAGACTTGATCCCTAAACAGGGACATCAGATTCAAATGCATACAACAGCCAGTCAGATAACATAAATGAATAAAGTGAGATAAGTTCACCTTATAATGGTATTGTAATCTTGTAAGATAAGCATAATTGCATATTGAACTTTATGTCCACAAAGAAACAATGTTCTTTCTTATGATTCTTGAAGAATTGTCCCTCACTCAGCCTCTCATTTTTCCAATTTTGATGAAGACATAATAATAATAGTAATAGCAGCTAAAACGTAAATATTGCTTATTATGCACTCAGCAGTGTTCTAAGTATTTAATATAAATTAACTCATTTAATCCTCACAAAACTATGACACAGGCACTATTACTGTCTTAGTTTTAAAGATGACAACTAAAGGAGGATTATTAACTTGGCCACGTTCATAAAGCTAATAAGTGGCAGAGCCGAATAGATATGGGATGAGAAGCATCTCACTTTTCTCCTGATCATAAAGAAAACAGAATCTGAACACAGGGATAAGTGTCAACTAACATTCAGCCTCAATATTATAGAAAGAACAGAAAGCCTGCAGAGCATGGTTAACAGAGAGCACGTGCCCAACCCAAAGTTCGGCAATGAAGTAAAACGAAAGCCTACATTTTTTGAGAAACCACAACTCTGGAGTTTTAGCTGAAATTCTAGATTTTTAAATGTTGAAAGCTAATTCATTTTTTATGTAAACACAGTGTAGGCCAAAAATACGTGATCTAAACAGAACATATCTGCTATCTGCCAAAAGCATTCAGTCCACAGTGGCTAGTTCATAGCCTCTGTAAGGATTAAATCAATAGATTCCTCCCCATAGAGATCTTTTACTTGCATTTCTTTATGCAGAAGGAAACTTTTTCCTATAATCCAGTCAAGAATTTTGTGCTCTCTTGCCAACCACTCGGGATCTCAAACCATCCAAACAGTTTCCCTCTAAGGGCAATTCTACTAGGCAAATTCTACTAGGAAAAGAAAACAACTTACAGGATTCTATCCTTATAATTTTTGACCCATGCAGTAATTATGGAAATTGAATTCCTCCTCCAGGACATAAATGGTAATTTTATCTACTTTTATAAATCATCTTTATTGCAATAACAAACTTTTTCATAAGATTTAAAATGTACTAGTGACCTGAAATCCAGAAATGCAAAAAATATAGATAACAGGATCACATTCTAAACTTCGCCAATAATTTTAAAAATTCAAAGATGTCCCATATACTCTATCACACATTGGCATACCTAATAAGTCTTGACCACTTAAGAGAACATAGATAGTTACTCCTATATAATAATATTTTCATCTAAGTTGAACCAATGCAGAATATTAAAAAATGTAACTATGTCATGTCCCCTTTTTAGTGGATGACATTTATTTTGATTCTCCTTGAAAGACATATTTGTGCACAAGCCTCAGTTTTTTTTAAGTTCAGTTAGAAGCAAAAGTCCAGTATGATATATAAAGTGCCTAGAGGGGAAAGACTTATAAAAATGTTGTGTACCACTCTTATTTTTTAGCTTTCATTCAACTTGATTTTAATTTGAATTAATATGAAGAGCCACACTTGTAATCTTCTCTGATTTATCTCTATATGCACTTGACTTACAATTAACCTCTTTATTGACAAGAAAATTGTAGGGGCCTGAACTTCCTTGAGAAGTTTTAGAAACAAAGAGAGAAAAGAGCATAATGACCTCCGGTAGTACACCTATTCTTTTTACCCATCTTGGGCCTTTGTTGACTCCTATATCTACATGTCTCCTGCCCAACTTGATTTTAATTCATTTATCTCCCTGCAGGACAAAGCTGTTCTTTAGCTTCCCAAGTGATATGCAATGAAACCCACCCCTCCTCCCTCCTCTATTAGACTTGCAGCCAATCTGTTAACAATTATAGGGGATAATCACCACTAAACAGTGTAGGAGCTAACTGGAAAGGAAAGGACAAACATCTGGGTTTTTAAGGGATCATGCTATATACCAGGCCTAATCACCTCACAGAAAGGGAAAGCATTTAAATCTAAATTTTTCATAAAAGTTTTAGATCAAATAAGGAAGTATGTAATTCTGCAAATGAAAAAGTAGTACCTAAATACTTGTCAAACCTTCAATTGACCTGCAACTAACTACAAATGTACTTAAACGACCTTTATCAAACACAAAGGCTGGCAAGACTGAATTACCTTGCACTACTGGATTAGGGAAGAAATAATCTGTATTCTTTCAGCTAAGAACAATTTTTTGTTGTTAATCCAGCATTTATGTGCCAGCTCTACCACTTAGAATAGGACATATGAGTTCGAGCAAGTCACTTAGCCTCTTGCAGCTTCAGTTTCCTTCATGTGCAAAAAAGAGAATAATGATATCTGACTTTTCTACCTTACAAAGTTATAGAAATCAGACAAAATAATAGAAAATCCCTGAAAACTCTTAAAGCATTATTCAAATGTAAGATAATACTCAATCATCATCACTTTATAGCCTTATTATCTTCAAGTTCATAACTACATATCTACTACGTGGGTTTAAAAAAGACTTTTTAATATCAAGTGAGTGAAAAAATACTTTAGCTTTTTAAAAAACAGGGTAGTTGAGGGGCCGGCCCAGTGGCGCAGTGGTTAAGTGTGCGCGCTCCACTTTCGTGGCCTGGGGTTCGCAGGTTCGGATCCCGGGCACGCACAGATGCACCGCATGTCAAGCCATGCTGTGGTAGCGTCCCATATAAAGTAGAGGAAGACGGCCATGGATGTTAGCCCAGGGCCAATCTTGCTCGGCAAAAAGAGGAGGATTGGCATCGATGTTAGCTGAGGGCTGATCTTCCTCAAAAAAAAAAAAAAAAAAAAGAAAACAGAGTAGTTGAAAAACAGAAATAAAACGTTAAAAAGTATTATTATTTAGTTTAAAAGTCTACCAGGAAAATGCAAATAATAAGTTCATTCAAAAGTAAACATTAACTCAAAACCCAAGAGAAAACTATGGCAGTTTTAATTTAATCTTAACTTTAAGGCAAACTCATCCATCACTCAATATTGTTTACCTTGTAAGAGTGTTGCAATCTGGAGAGATTTCTGAGATGGATGTTCTTTCAGAATGTCTAAGACAGTTCTACCTAAGCTATCCTTTATGTTGGCATCAATTCCTGAAAGAAAAAGAAAAACCCGCTAGATGTATACCACTGGAGTGTCATCAGAAGATACTGTTCATATATAACTGCTCTAATTTCAAACATATACAGACCAAGCACTGAAAGTGATTTTTTAAAAAATTAAGCTTTACACACACACACACACACACACACACACACACACAATTTTAGTAAGAAAGAAGATGGACTTGACTGCCACCAAAGATTAGGATATTCCTGATAATGAATTAACTCTTTTATTTTTTTTTTGAGGAAGATTGGCCCTGTGCTAACATCTGTTGCCAATCTTCCTCTTTTTTCTTTTTTCTCCCCAAAGCCCCAGTACATAGTTGTGTATCATCGTTGTAGAGTTGTAGCTCTTCTATACGGGACACTGCATCAGCATGGCTTGATGAGCAGTGAGTGGGTCCATGCCCAGGATCTGAACCAACAAACCCCAGGCCACCGAAGTGGAACGTGTGAAATTAACCGCTATGCCACCAGGCTAGCCCCTGAATTAACTACTAAAGGCACTGACCCAATCATTAAGATTGTTTCTGTCGATTATAGCTAGTTTAGGTTATAGCTAGTTAACTAAATGATTACAGCTAGTTAACTAAATGGTACACTACACCAAGGTGAAAAATATTACTGATGTGACAGTAATGGGAAATCCTAATGTGAAATTTCAGAATGTGAAATCCTAAAGTATAATTAATGGTCATGTGATTTACATATTCTATATAAGATGGTAAAAATATTTTTAAAATTATAATTTACCATGTAAGTAATATAAGAACAGCCTTAGAATACTTGAGTATTTACAAAAGTTGAAAAAGTATGATTATTTTGAACTATTGTCCAACTACTATTTCTTCAAATACAAAGTCAAATATTCCATATTTATTTATGCAAGATTATATTTAATGTCAGCAACCTTCATCATCTACCAGGTGAGCAAACTTCTTGAAGTGTGTAAGTGAAACAACTTTAAAATTATTTTAATTCTGAAAATATTAATTCTAGTAAAGAACTTATTTTAATGTAGCAAATAGCTTTCAATGCCCCAAAAAAGTTTATAAACTTTCCAAATATCTAACTGACATCAAAGTCAGCTTTTAGAATCTGGCCTCAAATGTTAGTTCATCATAATAAGATTATTAAGTATTTGCTTAAGTTGGTGTAGGGATATGTGACCAGTATATATTTAATTGGTGGCCTCAAATCATTTATTATATCACCGTGTTACATATCAAAGATAAATATACATGAAATTTTAACTTTGTATAAGCACAATCACAATGCAATAGCCTGTTAATGTTTTCCTTTTTTTTTTTTTACCTAGGAAAATAAACACACTAAATATAGTCCATAACACAAAAGACTCCCATCAATTGTTTACAAGCATGAATTTGTACCATGCCTTTTGATCCTAAAAAAATATCTGACCTCAGTTTCAATTTTATTTCATTTCAATCAGAATATACAAATGAACATAAATAACCCTATTTTGTTGTTCCTTCAAAGCTTTCCCTCTAAAAGGTTCCCTTTAAATCACTGCAACTTACAAACAATGGCTACTCAGTTGTTACAGTAACTGGAAGAAGAATTTAGGGCCGGCCCCGTGGCTTAGCGGTTAAATGCGAGCGCTCTGCTACTGGCGGCCCAGGTTCGGATCCGTGTGCGCACCGATGCACCACTTCTCCAGCCATGCTGAGGCCGCATCCCACATACAGCAACTAGAGGGATGTGCAACTATGACATACAACTGTCTACTGGAGCTTTGGGGAAAAAAAAAAAAAGGAGAAGGATTGGCAATAGATGTTAGCTCAGAGCCAGTCTTCCTCAGCAAAAAGAGGAGGATTAGCATGGATATTAGCTCAGGGCTGATCTTCCTCACAAGAAAAAAAAAGAAGAAGAAGAAGAAGAGGAAGAATTTATTTTAAAGATAGAGAACGCTAATTTCTGTTTGCCACAGTTCACAATATAAAAACCTAGGGAAAGTATTATGTTCTTCAATAAATCAAGCAATTGTCATAACTTCACAGGGATCAATCTTCCCTCTTGTCAAAGACAGAGATTTTTTTTCCTTCTGGTAGTTCTTCTAGTATATTTTGATGTGATTTAAATGCATAAAGTTGCAATTTCCAAGAACCTTTTACTAACATATCTACTGAGTAAAGGAAGGCACATATTTATATCAATTTAATCTAAACACTGAGGCTCAATTCTACATGATATAAATACATATCTGCAATCTGGAGTGAAGGCAAGAAGTAAGGGTGATTGTGAAAAAACAACCCGTCATTTTCCTTTGTCTACTCCTTAAATAGAAATTGTATTTAGCAGAATAAGCTCCACGGAGAAGCATGATAGTTACCTGTTTCTAATAGAACTCTCACAACATCCACCTTTCCAAACAAAGCTGCTTCGTGAAGTGCACTCCCTTTTTCTGTCTGGAAAAAAAAAAAGGAAAAAAGAGAAAGAAGCACAGTTGCATTAGGAAAGCTAACAGGTTAAAAAATTCTGTCATTTTATGCATTCATACATATTCTCTGTAATCTCAGCACTTCCTGAAAGAAAGGTAGTGTGGAATAAGGAAGAGATTCTAGAAACAAAATCCAAAAGCTTGGGTCTGTAAAACACCTCTGCTTCTGAATAGCTATTTGACCTTATTACATTGAGAAGCCACTCATCTTCTCTTAGCTTTGGTTGTTCTCAAGTACAAAATAAGAGTAGTAATGCCCACATCACAAGGCTTTTGTGAGTATCCAATGAGTTCACTCAATTTATGCATAGCATGCATTTATTAAACACCAACATATCATATGCCAAGAATAGTTGAGGGGTGTTTTGAAGTATCGAAATACGATCCTGACTCTTGTATATTCACATTCTATTTGAGGAGACAGATGTATAAATAAATATTTATGATAAATGAAGTCTAAACAAGTTAATGTAGCTGACAAAACCCAGATGATCTTCTCCCTGCTTTCCTCTCAATATCCTCTCTTGCACACTCCAACTCTCCCCCAGACTTCATACCCTATGCTCCAGGCATATTGAACTTTTTCATATGGTATAATTCTCTGTTTTCTTCTCCAGTGATCTCAAAGGCTGGTCTCTCTGCTTGGCAGGATCTAACACCTAGCCCTGTTTAACTCATCATCACCTATACCACTAGTTCTCAATCTTCAGCATAAATCGGAATCACCTAGAGAGCTTGTTAAAAACTAGATTTCCACACTGCACTCCCAGAGTTTTTGCTTCAGTAGCTTGGGATGACTCCTGAGAATTTCCATTCCTAACAAGTTCCCAGATGATACTGAGAATCTAGGGAGTACACTTGGAGAACTACTGACTTATACTATGTCAAATCTCAAATATAATTTCATTTAAGAAGATATCACTGGTCCCTGAAGTCTAGTGCTTTTCCTGTGTGTTCCACATCAATCTATATTTTCCTCATCATGCACTTATAATACCACAATGTTATGTGATTATCTATTTCCCCTAATAAACTATATGCTTAGTGGAAATGTAGACCACATATATTTTTTCATCATTGTATCCCCGACGCCTAGTAAAGTACTCTGAAAATGTAGACATTTAAGAATTATTTTGAGGGCAAAAGGTAGAAGGAGGCAGGAACATAGCATGGAAAAGAAGAATTTGTGAGAAATCCAGGGAGAGATTGGTTTCTGCCTTGAGGAGGATCCTTCCTTAAGGAAGATTTCAAAGAGGAAGCTTTTTGAGCTATACAAATGTTAGGTGTTCAATTTTATTCTTTTTCTCTCAAGAATTTAACAAATGTCTAGCAGGCCCTCACTGTGTGTGTCTGTGTGTGTGTGTGCGTGTGTGTTAAATTGGATAGCCTCATTATTGCAATTTTGTCCCCTTACACTAAAAGTGATCTCTAATGTGGAATTCTAATCTCAATCCAAAGTAGAAATATCACTATAAAATAATATATAATGTAAAAATTTCTTTGATTAATAAAATCCAGTTGTATAACTAACCCAATCTAAAATGGTTTATGAATGCATTATTAAGGAGGCTGAGGATCAATGTGATCTGAATTCATATTTCAAAAGGCATGACTGAAATGCACATGAATTATAATTTGGCATGATATGTATAGACATTAATAAAAATAGAAATAAAAATAATAATTTATAAATATACAGCACTGTTCAGAAGGAAAAAGAAACTGTGAAAACTCATTCTGCTCCTTAAAAAAAAAATATTTCAGTGTGGGGCATAAATAATTTATTTTTTCCCTTCCCTGAAAAATATCCCTTGAAATAATCTAATTCTTCTCATTCTCATTCTGTGTTTTTCAACCAATTTTCTGATTACTAATTTGATGTCCTTCAAATTTTCACAAAATTTGGACTTAAAGTTAGAAAAACTCTTCTTGGAATAACACAATTTAAAATTCTGAAAAACTAAATAATATTTAAAATACAAGGATGAAAAGGAAAAGTAATAGAATCCCTAAGAGCCTGGGGAAGGTAGAGGGGACAGAAGATATGACTCCTGGGGTTTAGCCCTGGAACAGGAATTTGTTCCAGGCAATGTGCTGATCCCTAGTAGACTAGGGCTTTAAACAGCCACTCACGGTGGGGTTGGGAGGGAGGCAGGAGAGAAAGCCTGACACCCAAGTAAGCTAAGAGCACAGATCAAGGACCCCTGCAAAAATCTAAAACTTCCAAAGAACAACATCCTCAGAGAAAAAAATTTTTTAAAACATGTTGCACAGAGGGAGAAAGTAGGGATGTCTATCTAGGTCTTAGTTCTAAGTGGAGTACAGTAACAGAAATAAATCACCCCTAAGAATTCCTAAGCACAATTCTGCCCTCACATGGGTTTGGGACAAAAATTATACAATCTCTGTGACCCCAGATCTTGAGCCAAAAATGTAGAATAAAGTGATCCTGGGTTTGTAGTACTAGAGGCAGATATAAACACTTAGCAGAAGCAGATAAAAATCTTTTCTGAAAAAATACACTTTAAATTCATGCTTCCAAGAGTTCCAACAGATAAAGCTCTAAGAAACACAAATTCAAAACTAGAAATCACTGAACATGAAAGAAAACAAGCCAGTCTAAGCAAGAATTAGTATAAACAATGACAAAAAGAATAAGACCTACAAAAACTTCACATATTAGAATGATCAGTTACAGAATATAAAATATATATGATCAATAAGATGAAAGAACTAAAAGAGAATATCAAATATAACGAAAGAACAAGAGGACTATCAAAATTGATAATATTTGAAAATGAATCAGATAGCACTTCCAGAAATGGAAAACATAATATTTTTAATGGATAGGTTTAAATACAGATAAGGTATAGCTGGAAAAAAAAGTATTGAACTAGATGATAGATTTCTTTAAAATACCTAATACAATTCCAACAAACAAGAGATTGAAAATATAAAAGACAGGATAGAATAAGGAGATGAACATATGTCTAATCAGAGTTCTAGGCGATGACAGAGAGAAGTAATAGTCAATGGCTAAGAATTTTCCAGAATTGATGACAGATTAATACTCAATCTTAGGAATATCAAGCAAGATAAATGAAAAGAATAGATCCTGGACATTAGAGTAAAGCAAAAGAACACCTAAGATAAAGAGAATATCTTAAAAACATCCCAAGGGAAAAAACTGTGTCTAAAAATAACTAATAGTTAGATTAATACCTAACTTGTCAACAAAAACAATAAATCCAGAAGAAAGTATAATAATATCTTCATGTGTCAAGAGACAATAACTGTCAACCTAGCATTCTATATCCAGCCAAATTATCTTCTAAGAATGATGGCAAAATAGACATTTTCAGACAGCCTAAAAAATGAGTGGTTACCATAGATCCTTACTGAAAGAACTTCTGTAGGATTTAATTCAGAAAAAAAGGATCTGAGAGGCAAGAAGTAATGGTGAATAAAGAGAATGATTAACCTAAGACTAAGTCTAAACAAACTATTTAAAAATATGACAATAATGTCTACTTTTTACACTAATTTGGTTTCTCAGCTATTCCAATACAGGATAGTGAGCACTGCAGACACCAAAATGAACTATTCTAGGCAATGAAAATATATAATTTATATTATATATATATATTTTTTTTCATATAAATAATTCTCATTTATAATAATATAAATAAATAAATAATTCTCCCTCAGCAAAAAGAGGAGGATTGGCATGGATGTTAGCTGAGGGCTGATCTTCCTCACAAATAAATAAATAAATAAATAAATAATTCTCATTCTGGAGGAATTAAATATAGAAGATGTGGGTTCCAACGGCAGCTTGGTTTTTAATAGCCATATAACTTTTGGGGATATCAAGATATCAAGATATCACTTGGTATCTCTAAAAATTCATATATCCTGTAAACAAAAAAATATTAAAAACTGAATAGGGTTATTGGGAATGTTAAATAAGATAAATATACAACAAATAAGATTTAAAAAGTGTTTTATTAACTTACAAAGTAATGACAAGTATTATCATTACTACTAAAAAAGCAATTAGAGAGCCAAGAACATACAATGGAGAAAAGAAAGTCTCTTCAACAAATGGTGTTGGGAAAACTGGATAGCCATATGCAAAAAAATGAAAGTAGATCCTTACCTTACACCATACACAAAAATTAACTCCAAATGGATTAAAGACTTGAATGTAAGACCTGAAACTGTGAAAGTTCTAGAAGAAAAC